AACAGGAGAGCCTGAGAGCACCCAAAGCTAGTTGAGAGCATCATATGGGGACATTGGATACCTCGGATTGCTGAGCAATGGGAAGATAAGCCATACCATGCACCAACAGGAGCATGTACATGAGCTGAATTCTGGTAAAATAGCAGTTATTTGAGACCACTTGTTTCTCTTTAAGAAAGAAAAGCGAATTACTTTCCACCTACTAAAGTAGTCCTGCACTCTGCCCTTTAGCACTGAGCTATGATTTGAGGCACCTTATTCTCTGATAGGACGTGCTTTTTTCTAGTAGATTAACACAAGATGACGTTTGAATTTTAAATCCCTGGAAGATACATCCTGGCAGGCATGGTGAACCGCTGGCACGGCAATACCATTTTTTTCAGTGCATGCATATTTAGCAGATACTTGACATTTCCAAGATGCATTTCAAGGACAGTATAAATCACTCAGGAGCTGAAGTGCTATAAATTTATGCTAGTGTTCGGCCATTGTCTTATAGCCGTTTATATTCATTCAGACTCGGGCTTTGGTCTGTTGACTGAAGAAAATCAGCAGGAAGAGCTGGCTATGACATTTTAGGACAGCTACAATTGTCTTTTCAGATCTGCTTGGAAAATTTGCTAGAGCAGTTGTTGCCCTACCTCCAGGGGTTGTGGTGTGTTACCATCTGGGAGAACTGGAGAACTGCTAAAGTCAAATAGAAAGCAAGATACTATCTGCTTTTATCGGAATCACAGCTCTTGCTGCTGCAAATTGTTTTTCATAGAATCATTCCGATTGAAGAAGGCCACTAAGGTTATCTAGTCCAACCATCAACACATCCCTACTGTACTCGCTAAACCATGTCCCCCAGTGCCACATCTGCCCTTTTCTTGAATGTCTCCAGGGACAAGGACTCCACCACCTCCCTGGGCAGCCTGTTCCAATACCTCACCAAATTTTCCCTATAACACTCTATACCAATGTGACCCATTTAGCCCTAGTTCAGCAAACAGGAGAGATTATTTTACAAATCCTGTGCTGAATTTGTAAGTGACATATACATAGAAGTTTGCAAATGCCTAACCCTAAGTCCTTTCAGACTTTTCTCTGGAAAAACTGCCATAGCTTTCCTTCATTTAACATCAGCAGTCATGCCTGTGGAAAGCCTGAGCCTTTTTTTTACGCAATGAAACTCACTTAAAACTTTAAAATGGCGATTAAAACAGGAAAAATTCTTTTTCATGCTGACAGCAATTTCACCCTCAAATTTGGCTTTTAATTAAGAAAGAAAACTTTGCATATTACAAAAACATTTTTTTTTTTATATTATGCTTCTCAGTGTGCTGTATAGATTATTCTTGTCAGAAGTTGTAGTGAAGAAACAGGGTTAAGCTTATTGGAGTGCTAAAAATAAAAGCATACTGTGAAACCTGAAGGGGCCCATTTTGATTATAGCCAAGTGGGAGCATTTTAAAATTTTCATTTACAAGCTCACTTCCCTGTCTTTCAAGCAGCTCTACTGAAAATGCTGCCTTGTGAAACCGGTCCATTGTTGCCACTATAAAGACATAGGTCATAGGGGTTATTCCTTGATATGTTTGGACAAAAATCCCACTCCAGCCCCTATCGCTCCAGTAATTCACACAAAAGACTCCTGTTGGCCATTAGCAGGGCTTGATCTCATAAGACAGGTAAATAGATAGGGTTAACGAGCCCTCTGAGGGTCATCATGACTTCTGTCTGTATGTGACAAGTGTGTCATATTAAGTTACATCTAAAAGCCAGTCAGCTCTGCTGCCTTCCTATTGAAAAGATGTGTTTAGGCAGGAAAATTAAATGTCTTTTCCTAATTCTTCGATACAACAGCCATCTGCTTTGGTGCAGCCTTGTCCCTCAGTTTCATAAAATGGTGGTCGCATTGCCTTTAAAGTTTTTTTTTGTTTCCAGAATGTACCACAATCATAAATTCGTCATCACCAAAAGAAGATGGGAAGTCATTATGAGATTCAGACTGCTGAGACCCTTTGAAAACCCTAGTCTCAGAGCTGAGTTATTTCACCTATTTGGGAGCAAATTCACTGTCTTTTCATGTTAAAGGCAGTGAAGAAAGGAAAAGTCATACCCAGCTGATGTTCCTGTCTTCTTAACAGCTTAACATTCCTTTGGATTTCCTTGCTTCTCAGTCCCCAGTCTTGGAAAGAAGCCTGAACATAAGCAAGGTGAAGCTCTGAGCAATCACTATCATTTGGCAGAGATGTGCTGACATCTGCTGAGTGACACATTTATTCTTGACTTATTGATACGGTCTGTGTACTTCCTTTTGATTTGACCCAAATTCTCAATTTATTCTCTTGCTTTCCTGCATAAATCAGCAGAAATACACAGTTATATAGTGTTACATATTTATGTCTCATTTTTATAGAGTTTTGCTTGTTTATTTGTTTTTGTCTGCTCCTCTCAGGATTACAGATTTTTACAGAGAAAATTTAAGTGGGAGTTCTGCTCATTTCAATTTCTGCTATTCTGCTGTTAGGAGAACAAGCGAGCAGAAACTTTGTCAGCAGGACCCAGTCACCTCCTTTAACATCACATCAACTTGTGTAGGATTTATAGCACTTGACCATCCTACCTGGGAAAGCCTGTGCTAGAAAAAACAGGATGGTGGTTGCAAAGCATGATGAGTAGGACATGACTACCCCAATCCATGCAGCTGTAGTAATATGTTATTGAATGGTCAGGATTTGAATTTCAATTGATGCAAACCAGTGTTGTCTCAGTGATTAGTTCCCAATTACACAGGTCTGTCCTAGCTTATAAACATGGAAAAAAAGGACCCCCTACTTCCAAGATATTCCTCAGTTCTACCCAGAAAAGATCGACTGTACTTCTCCTACTATTCATATAAAATATTTAAAATGACTCCTTACTGATTTATGGGTTAACTTCAATTTCTGGCTGGAAAGACATCAAGGCCAGTCCTGGAGACAGGATATCTATTGTTTTTGAACATGAGTATAAAATAATTTAACAGTGATAGTAGAGGTGGACATGTAGTAGCAGGGTTTTACTTGGAAATTTGCCTTGAGCCTCACTGTTAAGTGAGAGGTTGAAAAGTGCCTGCCATGTTTGAAGTAGACCTTGGGTAGATCCACTCACATGACAAAAATACTGCTCACTGCAGTGTGCAGTCTTAATATTTATGCTTCTGTTCATCAGGTTTTATAATTCAGCACCATCACTTTCTGCTGGAATTGAGAAGAAAAGGGGAAGAGAAGCATCTGTTATTTTCCCTGGAAAACATTCAGATTTTTGCAATACTTGGTTGTCACACTGGTGTGTGCGAGTTAGTGGACTCAAATGTTCTAAGGCTCTGTACAAGCAAATCTGACATTTCTTCATAGCCTGGAGTTACAATCATTAGAAACAATCCTGATGGCAATGGAAGCATTTGTGCAGATCTCAGTAATGACAACCAAGGTCTACGGTTTTCAAATCTTAATGAAAATTCTTTGAGAAGCTTTGGAAATGACCAATTATGTCATTTTAATCTATAGAAGTGCCCAACATGTAGTTTGCTTTTGGTTACTACAGCATGCATAATGTAGTAAGAATGAATGGGAAAAAAAAAAAAAAAAAGCAAAAAACAACTCTCAGAGGTGTGAAGAAAGAGTTGCAGTAAGTTTCTAGGGGCTAAGATGAAGTTGGGGAGGAAAGGGTATCTGAAAGTTTTCACTCTAAATAAATAAACAAATGAATAAATATGTGAATAAATGTTACTTAAATCTTCAATGGCAAGTCTTAGACAAATTAAGTGTACATATTCTCGTACTGTGGCCAGAAATTATTGACATCTCTGAGTGCACAAATTGGTGAAGATTTCTAAGATTTCCATTGAAAGCACAAACCTTTAATTGCAAGTTTTATGTCATAAATATCTTGCATTCTGAGCACAGTGATGGAGCCAAAATTTAAACTTGTATTTGATGGAAGTGAGGATTTCTCACACAAGGTGTAGCTGTCAGTCTTTCTTTTCTAGTCTTATTTTGATTCCACATGTTTCCCCCAGCTTCCACAACCTCAGACCTAGCAGTTTAGGATGAGATTCATCTCCCTTAATTTTAGACAGTGGCAATTTGTCTCATTCTAAACCATCTGTGCAGACCTCTCTTGGAGCTTGGAAATGTGATCCAGGAGTTGAAGTTGTGATTCATCTGATCTGATCAGTGGCAGGTAGCTGGTGTATCGGAATGAATCACATGCTGCTAACTGCTGCAGCATCTGAGGGTTCTTGCTTAAGTAGAGACCTAAGTGTGCAACCCACACGTATTCAGATAAAGATTACTTCCAATCTCTATGAGATAATACCAGATAGAATCTACCACGTTGCTTCTGTAATTTAATCCAGTGGATTTGCCATTCTTCAGCTGAAATGCTCTGAGCCTGCTATCAGTTTTTCCATTGAATTTAGTGGGAGTGGGATGAGATGACAACCTCCCTACTCTGCACTGCTGTAGGCTCATCTCAAACACTGTTTTTAGGTTGGACACCACAATATCAGAAGAACATGAAGCTATTAGAGAGCATCCAGAAGGGGATATATGAAGATGGTGAAGGGTCCGGAGGATGGGAGGGAGGTTGTGTATGAGGAGAAGCTGAGGTCACACTGGTTTGTTTAGCCCAAAGAAGAGAAGGTTGAAGGGATTTTTGGTGGTCCTGAATGGAACCAGGAGTTGGATTCTGTGAACCTTGTGGATCCCTTCCAGCTCAGGTTATCCTATGATGCCATGGTTCTATTATTTAAGGACACACAGAGACCTATCAGTCATATTGCCTCTGATTGGTTAGGTGTCTTCAATCATCAAAATGCATAGCATTCTTCTTTCTCTGTAATGCAAAGTCTTGCAGAAAATGCTGCTTCTCTTTTTATGTGCACATGTAAACTGCTGAATCGCTGTCAGTATAAAGCTTTTGTTTTAGGTTTGTACCCTGTAATTATCTTCTATTATCTTAATTTGCAGACAGTATTGAAGCCAACATTGAGACTGCATCTTCTAATGTAGAATCAGCCAATGAGCAGTTGGCAAAAGCAAGTCAGCACCAAGTAAGTTGATCTAAAACACCTTAAAGATACATTCAGTAGTAGTATTTAAAATAAAGTGTACACTTGACGTCTGTGAACCACATGGCACATGGGTTGCATTGGATTTGTGCTACCTGGAAAGATGATTAAACACATTATAAGTAAGAGCTATGTGTTTACATGCATATGTATGTGATTGAATTATTGTAGCATTGGCGATTTGCATTAGTGTAGTCATTTAGAGATCTGCATATTGAAGAGCCATTTCCCAGTAGGAAACTCAACAATTAGCTATTCTTGTTCTTGGAAAAATGTCATAAAAAGTATATCATGTAAGCGTGTATGTGTTTCTTATTGGAGTGTTTCCTAAGAATCAGGCAATAGTGCTTTTCAAAAACAGCAGAATTGCCAAAAGACATGATGTGGTTTGTGAATAATGGCTATGGAAATTGTGTTCAGCACTTTTTAAAGGCAAATTCTGGGTTGGGTATTTCTTTTTTCCCTTCTGTATTTCTTCACTGGAGCAAGAATAAAATACACACATACAAAAAAAAACCAACACATTTATCTTGTTTGAAAATAGCTTGACCAGAATTGGTAAATGGTTATTTCAGTGGTTACTCTCAAAGGTTTCAAAGGATGAAGTCCAAAAAAAAAAAAAGAAAGAAAAAAGAAAAAAAGAAAAAAATGAATGAAACAAAGAAAAAAAGGTTATTTCTTACATTAAACTGACATAAGAAAAGCTGCTACAGTTTCATTCTTTTCCTCACTCATAAACCAATTTTTTCAATTTCAAGGTGATTTTCATGTATCTAGAGTATTGTTATGACAAAATGTAGCTGAGGTGAGTGTGCATACTTAGTGCCTCCTCTTTGGTCCTCGGACACAATGAATTCTGCAGGTCTGGGATGAACCTCCAGCCTGAAGGAGAAGGAATCATAGACATTTTACTGCATTAAAAGAGGGTAATGTGATTTTAAAATTATCTACAACTCATTTTCTGGTGAAATGTAGAATTGTGAGTAATAAGAAGTTTTGTAGAACTTTGATATTATGGAAACTAGATGTGGTCTTTAGCTACATTTTGGTTTTAAAGCCGTGTATATTCAAGATAATGTGTTTTACCATGCATTTAATCCTGCATTTGCCTTGAAAATAGACTGTTGCATTTTTAGAGTGGGAAATCTAAAATGAGACATGAATAAATTTAATACTTGACAGTAGAGCAGATCGCAAAGCGTAAATGAGTTAATGACAATTTGAGCTAGGAAGGTCGGAGTAGTCAGGCAGAAAATGAACTCAGAGCGGTATAAAGGACCTGCTTTCTTCAACCAGCAGGAGCTGCTGAAATAACCAACCCAGTTAGGAAGTCCTTTATTCTTCAAATAGGTTGATCAAGATGAAGATATAACCAGTCTTAACAAGTCAACCACTGCTGTCAGCATAAAGAGACTTGCACTGACTGTTATTTATGGGAAAACACTCTGGATCCTTCCATGTCCTTGAAATGAATCTGTGTAGAAGAATATCACTTAGATAAATTCTGCTGCCAAAGAAACTGTGCAGTCCACATCTGCTGTAGGGGATTGGTAGCTGGATGAGGATCACTGTGTACAACCACAGCTGTCTCTCTGTCATCTCTTTCATGAGATATGGATGGAAGATGGAGTGAACAGGTTGTGACTTTGATTGCTGGTCTGTTGTATGAGGTATCTGTAAAATGGTGTTTTGTGTCCTGCTATCTGCTCATTTTATATCTGAAAAGACATTTGTTTAGTAATGTGACAAGAGTGGCTCTGGACACGCATCCCTCAAGAGCTTTTGTAGGAATTGACGTTGGTGCCACTGCTGTATGTATGGATAGTGCAATTAAGTCTAGGTTGTTCCTTCAGGTTGTGTGCCTAGTTCTGGCTATTTTAGAAAAGTAGAGGATGGATTTGATAGAATGATCACCCAGATGGCTTTGTGAGTCAACTGCTTTCAAAGGAGCTGCTATAATTTTACACCCTTCAAAATTTCTGTATTGTTCTGTGCTGGTTGGAGATTAATGTTTTTTAAATCTTACTGGTTAGTTTTCCTGTTTTTTAAGTTGTTGGTTCAATAATGTATTTGGTTATTATCTACGACCCCTAGCATGGTGTGATTGTCCTCTAATGCAGAATGGCTTACAGATGTCTGTTATTTATCCCTACTTATAGGTATATACATATGTATATGAATATGTGTTTGTGTGCAAGTAGTATTTTGTGTAAGTATTGACAAATGCATATATGAATTAAGAAATCAGGAATGTCAACACAGCTGAAAAATTTAAGCGAAGCACCTACTGTAGACCTTAATGAAGAAATTTCTGCAAGGAACAAAGACTTAAGTGACAGGTTATTTAGCATAATGTTTGCATATAATGCAGTGCAGTGCATCAAGAATACAACTTGGAGCGCCAGTCCCAACCCATCCATTAACATAACAAAGCATCAGTAAATCTTTTCTTTAACTTTTTTTTCAAAATGAAGCATTTAGGCTTAATGCAACAGTAGAAATATTTAAACAGGTATAAATATCTTCCCACTGAGTTCTCACTGAGTTCTTTTGCTTGTGTTTTAAATTTTGAAAGAGGCTCTCATTCATGTTAAGATATTGCTGCTAGCAACAAAGTTTTCCAATTTGACATGAATTTTCACATGATCCATCTAAACCCTTCCACCAAGAATAACAAACAAACAAATAAAAACACCAGTCACCCTAAAACAATAAAAAAGCCAATTGGCTGCATCATGGGGTAGGTGCAACTGCTGTTGTAGAAGGCAGAGTAAGATAGTCAAGAGAGTAGACTGTCTCAATTGCTCATTACACTCCTGATCTTACATGCCATGGGAATTCTCTGAGTCCATGCTGGGTACCATAATTGGCTTTACCCCCTGACAATAGCACTTCTCTGCTTCACCAGGTAAATTCACTGAGGACTCTGTTGTGCTCAGATATTACAGAGGCTCTGTGGGCATGGTAGAAATGTAGCAATAAACATAATGCTTATGTCCATTCGTGATGTAGCAAAAATGTCTTATGTCATAATCATTTATTTCCAGTAATATTTCCATGACACTGTAAATCATTTGATATATTTTCAGCATTACTTGACTTATATATATTGAGTGATAGGTGTTTGTTATATCTTCACTGCAGTATAAGATGTGATAGTGGAACTTGTAATTAATCATGAACAAAGAAAATACTGCATCCCAAAGCCAAAAAAAAATTTAGTGGGAGCTGTCACATCTTTGAAGGAAATACATGTTTTCACATTTTTTTAAATTCTGAAGGTTGTTTTTTTTTCTTCTCATTTTAAATTATTATTACTAGAGAATAACTGTTAGTGTTTAATTTTTTTTTCTTTTTTTTTTTTTTTTTTTTAACTAGAGATAATGGTTAAGCAGAATGACTGCAGTACATGCGGATACATGCATGATGAAAAAGCAGATGAAAACACTATGAGATACTAATATCAGGCCTTGAGGAAGAGAGGCTGTTTCGGTATGAAACACCTTTTGATCACATGAACTCAGCAATTTTACTTTGTTACCTTGCTTTTCTCTAGAAAAGACAAGTAGGAAAAATAACAACTGAATGGTAAATCTGACAGAGATATTCTCCAGTGGTAGACTTGCTTCACTGTCTTTCCTTTCTCATATCTGGTAGACGTCATGAGCGTCTCACATCTCTTAGACTTGAAGAAGACATGGTAACTCTTAGCATTTAATACCAGTGGCCCATACTTGTCTCCTAAATTGTCACTGTCTATACCCCTTCAGGAGATTCTTTGTCCCACTCATCTTAAGACAATTTTAACATAGGGTGAATTGTTCTTTGGAAGGTAGAGTCATGGAATCGTGGAATCATGAGGGTTGGAAGAGATCACTAAGATCATCTAGTCCAACCATCAACCCATACCCAGCATGTTCACCAACCATGTCCCTCAGTGTCACATCTCCATGTTTCTTGAACACTTGCAGGGACAGGGACTAACCTGAACCTCTCCTGGAACAACTTAGAGTCATTACCTCTTGTCCTAAAGGTTTACTGAAGAAAATACAAGTGTCTGTGGTTGAAGAACGTGTGTCTGAGGTTTGGACTTACTTTACACTCACAGAGAGGAGGAGTTGCTTCCTACATCTTACAGAGATATCTAACATAAGTCTCATGGTTTCCTCTCTTAACATACCTTTTCTCTTTGTCTTTAAATTCTGGACTTTATCAATAAATAACCTTGCAGACATTTTACAGGAAATGAATCGCATGCAAATCACCTCTTTATAAAGAAAAATTAGGGCATTTAAGACCTGCCTAGATGCTTTTCTGTGCAACCCACTGCTGGGAACCTGCAGGAGGGTGTTGGACCAGATGATCCCCAGAAGTCCCTTCCAAGCCCTGTGATTCTTTGATACTATGATTAGCTTAGTTGCAATGGACATTGCACAGAGGGGCTGGCTGCAGTAGGATGAGCCATGCTGCTTCACTCAGTTTGTTCATAACTTCCTGCAGATGGAATGAGAGGAGGAAAAAGAAACAAATGCAGACTTCACAAATACATATTAAACCAGTTATTCTTTTTGAAGCAAAGTTTGGCCTAAGTTCAGCTTGTTGACACTGACTGAAGGACTCTGTGTGCTGACTGTTGAAGCTCATTTGTTTTGGAAGAGCTGCTTGTGTGTTGCTCTGATTAATGCTCGTTGCTTTCCTTCTCTCTCTCCTTTATGGAAGTCAAGCTAATTTGGATTCACTGGCATCGCAAAGGCAAGCAACAGTTCAGTGACCCAATTGTGTAGTCTAAGAACAATGATGTTTTTTCCTGTAAAGAAGGAATTCCTGGACCTGACTTTCAGTGATCACAGAGGGGCACTTTCAAGGCTGGAGCTTCCAGGAAAAAGCCTTATACATACTTCAGATTTGCAGATAGATCTTTTTACTGGGGGATCAGCAATAAAGAGCTGGCCTCAACTTTTGCCCAAATAACTCATTGGAAC